CATATACGCTTAAGATTGTGTACTATGTATTAACATATTGTCTAGAATAAAGCAGTTATTATTATATAGTATAATTAACAATAATGGAACGCCAGTGGGTCGTCAATGCGAGAGTGACACGGAGGAGATCGTGTGAGACGGAGAAGGAGGAGATCAGAGATTATAGGGAATAGTGGGGTCAGCTAAAGAGGGCCGCAGAAAATAGAGAAAAGTAGAGATGTGTTGTTGAAGCCCACTATGTTCCACTCAAAACCCAAGGCAACAATAATAAATAATAATCATGTGATATAATCACTTTATTCTAAACACTAATAGTTACACAGAGTGGAATTTTAAGTTTTTGCACTTATGTTGCATGTGCTACTGACACGATTTGTCAGTAGTATACAAAGAGATGTTCATCGGCACAAAAATATTAAATAGTGCAGATTAATATATGTGTAAAACTTGGGCACTGTGGTAGTAAGTAATTCCATATTAGTTTGTTTATTAGATATATCACACAGTCAGTGAAACAGTATCATTATTTACTGGATGACAAGGTTTCAAACAAAATTTATTCTTTGTTCATAATCATTTCATCAATTATAATCACACGACTTCGAAACTTGAGTTTTATAGTTTTCTTTGTTCTCTCCTATTTGTCACCGTTGGGATAGTAGAATTTTTCAGATATCTGGGTGAACAGGTGTTAAATCACTCCTATTACACGTATTTGCATTTGATTCGATAAATAAAGCTTCCGTTATCAATCTCTTCCTGCACCCTGTGACATTAGATTTTAAAACTGTCACCTTATCCCATTCAACCTATTGTATGGTTGTGTGTAGTTGCATGTAGTGAGTGCTATAGCTGAACTATTCTTATCTTATTCTGGTCAACTAATCTAGATTTTGCTAGGCTTTTATGCTCGCCAGTCTGACTGCCCCTGTTCTACTACTTTGACCTATGTATTTGACCCGAATAAGATAAGAAATCTAGAGAATAGTTCAGCTATAACACCCACTACATGCAATTACGCACAAACATACAATAGGCTGGATGGGATAAGATGACAATTTCAAAATTAATGCAACTAATATGGTGGAGGGAGAGATTGATAACAGAAGCTTTATTTATTGAATCAACTGACAGCGAATACGTGTAAATAGGAATGATTCAACGCCTGTCCACCCAGATATCTGGAAAATTCTACTATACCAACGACGACAAACAGGAGAGAACAAAGAAAACTATAAAACTCAGTTTTGAAGTCGTGTGATTATAACTGATGAAATGATTATGAACAATGAATAAATTTTGTTCGAAGCCTTGTCATCCAGTAAAACTAATACTGTTCCACTGACTGTGTGATATATCTAATAAACAAACTAATATGGAATTACTTACTACCACAGTGCCCAAGTTTTACACTATATTAATCTGCGCTATTTAATATTTTTGTGCCGATGAACATCTCTTTGTATACTACTGACAAATCGTGTCAGTAGCACATGCAAATAAGTGCAAAAACTTAAAATTCCACTCTGTGTAACTATTAGTGTTTAGAATAAAGTGATTATATCATATGATTATTATTTATTATTGTTGCCTTGGGTTTTGAGTGGAACATAGTGGGCTTCAACAACACATCTCTACTTTTCTCTATTTTCTGCGGCCCTCTTTAGCTGACCCCATTATTGCCTATCATCAGTAGTAGTTCCATACAAGGAAGGAACCTCGGAAACCTTACTGCGGAGAATTCTTAAAAAGGCGCGAATAAAAGTGGTTGGCATTCAAACTCACAAACTGAATTAGAAACAGGTTTTGTCGGTTAAAGGATCCTGCCAGTGGAGCCTTTGAAACAAAACAATTTAGTTTATCTAATACCCTGTCTGCGATGATCGTCAGGTGAAATACATAGGTCAAAGTAGCAGAACAGGGGCAGTCAGACTAGCGGAACATAAAAACTCAGCCGCAAAATCTAGATTGGTTGACCCGAATAATAAGATAAGAAATCTAGAGAATAGTTCAGCTATAGCACTACACTACATGCAATTACACACAACCATACAATAGGCTGGATGGGATAAGACGACAATTTTAAAATCTAATCTAATGTAACATGGTGGAGGGAAGGATTGATAACAGAAGCTTTGTTTATCGAATCAACTCAGAGTGAATATGTGTAATAGGAATGATTCAACACCTCTCCAGTCTGATATCTGGAAAATTCTACTGCCCCAATGGCGACAAATAGGAGAGGACAAAGAAAACTATAAAAGTCAAGTTTCGAAGTCGTGTTTGATTATAATTGATGAAATGATTATGAACAGCAATAAATTTTGTTCGAAACTTTGTCATCCAGTAAATAATAATACTGTTTCACTCGGTGTGTGTGTGTGTGATACACCTAATAAAAAAAACTAATATGAAATTCCGTTACCAAGTCTCTTTTCTTTTTCCTGTTACACATGTATGCATCAATTTAGCTCCTTTTAAAAATACATAATACAATTGTCTCTTCACACACACAAAACCCGCGAATTTTTCACATTTTACTGCACGGGCACAAATTCTTATGAAATATCTTTCTGGTTTTATCTCCGAAGACAAACAGAAGGAGAAAGCTGTTAATAAAGAGGATGTTCAATGGTATCAAACAAGATAACTTTAGCCAACTGCTTGCAAGAACTATAAAATGCCCATCGACACCAAGGTCAGTTTGTCGAGTCAAAGACACACACACACACACCACATACACTAACCCCACTTACAGCCTTCAATGTTCTGCGTATTATGAGAGATAGTCTTTCTTAAGAAGTCCAGAGGACAATAAAGAATGAATAGAATATATAAATTAATAAATTGTAAGAAGAGTAGAGGTTGAGTTATGCCAGTAGAAAGTCTCAACTTTTTTAGTATAAATAAGTCGAACGGGAGATTTTCTTAGATATCAACAAGGTGTATGAGACGACCAACACAGAGATTTGAAGAAGAACTTATGCCATCATCCCAATGTGTCGTTGATATTACAAAAATCATACGACTGAATCAGTCACACAAGTCCTACTCGCGTCTAATATTTAGACGGATTTTAGTTTAAGACCATTTTTGGATGAGACTATTTGGTTAACCTCAGATAGAAAACTATTCATCATTTCGGAACAATCTATAAAATGCAGAAACAACTGGGACAGAAATTGTCCTAGTCGTCACTAGATATTTAATGAAGAAGTTGACTTTAGAAGAAATACGGTAGGTCATTCAAAAAGTAAGCAAAAAAAGGAAATGCAGAAAGTACATCATCAGCTTGAAGCATACCAGCTTCTGTAAGCAAAGAAGTGGAGCAGCAAACTTCAAACCAGTGGAGGGGGGTTGGGACACAATCCAAATGTATAATTGCATTACAATCATCAATAGAACTTTTATAAGTAGTAGTAGACACAAATGAACTGAAAGTAAAATATATAGACGTTTTCAGTTCCTCTGGTTTCTGAGTGGAACATAAAGCTTTAAGCTGTGAGCTTTGAAAGTTCAGTAGTCATTGTGTTGTCTTTTTGTTTATGGGATGATGTTACTAATCTCAAACCAAACCTCTTCTTTTTCACCGGGTGCTTACTATCCACTAAGTAAAGTTTAAGGAATACGTCGTCAAGGGGATCGAACCCGGCCGGCGTATATGTGACTGGCGAGTATTCCACCGTTGAACCACTGACGCACATGGAATATTCGGAAAACGATCCCTATCTATCTGTCTGTTTTCAACATAAAACTTTCCATCGATGTGCACCAGTTCAAGTCGCCATACTTCACTCAGCACACAAAGTAAGAGAAGAAAGTAGAAGAAATGCAGAATAGAGACCGTAGACAGGGATATGAGACAAAAGGAATAGTAATAACGAAGATCAATATAGTTTCATTGGAAATCATAAGTCACAAGGAGTGGATGCATCTGTGCCACTCATTGAGAACGATGAGTTTGAACCATATCACCAATTGTCTCCAGCCTCTATTGGTTTTCACCATCCTAGGACCCCAACGAGGAAGCCAGTCTACACCTTCCTACGTGGCTGGCTTAAACTAACTGTTGTGGATTTTGTTGATTGATGAAGCCATGTTTTGGTTTGACCTCCTCTAGCTCTTTTCCAGCCTGACCCTATGTCGGCTAACATTGCCTGTAGGTCGAGGAAGGCGATGACTAGGCATACGTAACACATGTCCCAACCATCTCATTCGGTGTAACTTTACAGTCTCGTCTATTGATTTCCCCTCCTTATCTAGCACTCGACCGATGCCTCACCTCAATATTGCTTGACCTACTATACCACTTCACACAAGAGACAGAACCCAGGCACCTATGATCAAAGACAGCTAGTCTTTTCATGTCCTCCACTCTCAACGATTCTCCTCTCTCTCTCTCTCTCTCACAACGATCCCAGCACACCTCTTGCATGCTAATTACCAAAAACAAATCAAAAATTAGAAATAACATATTCGCTAATCTACAACTTATATATATTGGGCAAATTATGTTTATAAATCTTTCACTATTATGCATTTCATTTCATCAACATCAACGGTTGGTGAGCCTAATGAGATTTCTCATAAACAATTAGACCTCAGTGAATATTTACTAGTGGTTTTTTTATTTACTTATTTTTTATTCCTTCACGTTCCCTGTGAAACATGGAGCTCCAAACTAGAGCTTTGAAGTTTCTGTAGCAGTGTTGTTTATTTTACAGGATGGGGTCGCTGCTGGCCTCATACCCAACCTTTCCTCTTTACCAGTCTTATTACTGGCTTAGCGGGCGAGGTAAAGGAGTGTGTTGGTGGCCGGGGATCGAACTCCAGACCATGTGCATGGTCGGCGAGCGCGTCCTAATCCCTGTGCCACCAACATACTCTACCAGTGGGTAGTTGAATAAGTCGTAACAAGAAAACGAATGTGTGGCAAAATACAGAGAGACAACAACAGATAAGACATTTAACTACTTAATAATAATATTAACAGCACATACTTTTATCAGCATTGAGCATCGATGACAATACCAAACACCAACAGGTGCTTCATCAGGATCTAAAGGTGGATCCAAACATTCCAAATGAAAACTAGCTGGACATCGATCACAAACAAGTCGTTCACCTTCAATACAACCACAACTATCACAATATTCATGACAATTAGCTCGTGGTTTTTTCCAGAATGGATCATTTTTAGCTAATGTACCACGAGGTGGTTGTTGACTAGCTACACTGGGTGTGTTTGTTTCTGTGCTGGTAGAAGCTGATTCAATATTTTTGCGTCCACGACGAATTGGAGGCTATCATAAGGAAAGAAAAGTATACATGTATTAATAATAAAAAACAAAATATATATATTTCAAAAACTTACCAGACCAAGTGAGCCCTTTCTACCATATGTTTCATTTGTTGGTGGAGCGAACAGGGCATTTATTTCATGCATTAAACTTTCTTTATGTGGTAAATTATTGTCATTAGTCGACATGTCTGAAAATTAAGAACATAAAATACGGTAATTGACTGCTTAAATACACACAGAAGGGAAATAATTTCTTTATGTTACAAAAACTAATGGAATACATTTTAATCATAAGGTCATGTAATCGGTTGGCTGGCTGGTTTCAACACAGAACTTTACACTGATGTGCAGTAGTTCCAGTCGTCACACTTCACTCAGCACACAAAGCCAGAGAAGAGGAAGAAAGTAAAAAAAGAAACGCAAAATACAGACAGTAAACAGAGATATGAGGCAAAAAGAATAGTAATATCGAAGAACAATATAGGTGCATTGGGTATTATAAGTCACAAGGAGTGGATACATCTGCACCAGCCATTGAGAACAATCACTTTGAGTCCAGCCTCCAATGGTTTTTACCATCCTTAGGACCCCAACCAGTCAGGAAGTCTACACCTTCCTACGCGACTAGCTTAAACTAACTGTTGTGGATTTCATTGACTGATGAAGCAGTGTTTTGGTTTGACCACCACTGGCTACTTTCCAACCTGACCTTATGTCAGCTAACATTGCCCATTGTCGAGGGAGGCGATGACCAGGCTAGGCCTGCGTAACATATGTCCTAACCATCTCAGTCGATTGATTTCCCCTACTTACCTAACACTCGACGGTTATAATGTATGTGCGTCATACACAATAAGTTTATCGAATATGAAATTATACCCTACTACAATCCTCCCACCACCACCAATTTCTACACCTACGTAATAGAAATGCTTATTATAAGGACTTAATTTAACATTATAGAAGACAAATTCATCTAATTACTATATACATGTAAAACTTCGACACGATGGTAGCATGTGATTCCATGTCGATCATATCAACATGCCACGTGACCAACCGACTCGCTGAGTTTTAACCCACCTTTGTACAGAAGCGCAGCAATTCAAGTCTCCACACTCCATGTAGTGCACAAAGGATAGATAAAGAAGAGAAAAATAAGGTCTAAAACCTGTAATAAGCAGAAATATGAGGCAGAAAGAATAGTAACGTGGAAAGAACATCACGGTGCAGTGAATATTGAAGATAACAAGCAGTGGATGCATGCACCCCCTCCACACTGAGATATGTCATCAATAATTTTCAGCTAATAGTACTTAGTATTCTGGAGATCCCAACTAGGCTGTCTACACCACTTCTTGTGGCTGGCTGAAACCAACTACCAAAAGCTTGATTTCAGGTTTCTGACTTAACACCTCCAAAGTGTTCTCGAACTTAATCTCGAGTCGGTTGACATTGCTCGTCGAGGAAGGCGGTGGCTCAGTAAACACCTTATATGTCCTAGTTATCTCAATCGATGTGGCTTCACAACTTCTTTGGCCGACTTTTCTTCCTTACCTGATACCCTACGCCTAACATCAATATCGCTTACCACATAATGCCACGAATACACATATGTGATCGAAGACAGCTAGCTTTTTCATATCTTTCACGGTCACAGAGGGGGACAGAGTTAACCGTTGCGCACTACACACGTTCCTTGATGGATAGCCGGATATCACGTCTACGCAAGAGGTGATGTAAGTCAGCAAATGCCACATGAGCCTTTTGTATCCCTTCTGAGGTTGCGTCATCAATTATTCCACTGGGGCTGGTACAACTTTCCAAATAAGTGGAGTGGTCAACACACTCAACCACATCCATAGACTAGGAGGTCAGCAGAACCATGTAACGCAAATATACAAGTAACTTCCTATCTGTTAAGATATGGTCTGACTATCAAACAGTCATATGTTTGTTGGATCTGTGGTTGACTGATCTTATCAACCTCAAATTTCAATAAATTAGCTGAGTTCAAATCTCACCCCCATTTACCGAGGCTCAGGCAGTCATGCACCCAGTCGAACAACATACACGCGATTATTGAGTAAATACTATTCGCATACTATTTGATTCCCAGTATTCAGAGTTGATTAGGTAAGTGCCATTGTGTTAACTTTCGTGTCTCCCAATGTTCCAAACTTTTTTTTACTTTAATGCTTATGAAAGAAATCCTGCCTTTAAGTTACCCTGAAAGTTGGAAACATGTTCCCCTGTCATGCTTTCTCATGAGTGACGATAAGATTATTTTTTTTACATCGAAAAGAGGTTGAAATAAAGTTGCCTCTTTCATATTCGACGGTATTAATAAAATTACCCAGTTAGTAATACTGAATCACTGTGTGTTATTTCAATTAAACTTATATAATATGGAATAATAATAATAATAATAATAATAATTTGCTTTATTCCAGAAACAGTACTACTGGTACAGTGTGGAATTTTCTATCACATATCTACAATATTGAGATAAAAATTTGTTAACTATTGTTCTCTAATTATAAATTATTTAAATTAATCCCAGCGTGTTTAGAAAATCAAAACAAAATCTGTTTTCTGTACGTTTCGCTGTGCAAGCCGCCACAGCTTCTTCGGCAGATTTATTCGAAAAAAATTTTAAAAATCCGAATAAATCTACCGAAGAAGCTGTGGCGGCTTACACAGCGAAACGTTCAGAAAACAGATCTTGTTTTGATTTTCTAAACACGCTGGGATTAATTTAAATAATAATTTATAATGAATCAATCTGACTCGGAGCTCAAATTATTGCAGGAAGTTCGTAACACCTACGGTCTGTAAAACTACAATTGTTCTCTAATCTTTTTTGTAGTTTACTAGTTTAGGTGGATGTATTTTTACCCTTAGAGCATATGTCCAAACTTCTGTATACTTAGTTAGACTTTTAAAACCAAGTTCTATTACATAATAAGTGTGGCGCAATGACTAATGCATAGATATTTACACTCATCGTGTTACCCGACTAATTTATCTACTATTATTATTTCATTCATGGTCCGGGGTTCGATCCCCGGCCACCAACACTCCTTTACCTCGCTAAGCCAGAAATAATGCTGGTAAAGAGGAAAGGTTGGGCATGAGGCTAGCATCCTGTAAAAATAAACACTGCTACAGAAACTTCAAGCCACTAGCTTGAAGCCCCTTATGTTCCACTGGGAATGTGAAGGAAAAAATCTACAATATTGTATCTCATTTCATCACACATTAAAAAGGAGTATTTCAAAAAATAAATATTTTTAAAAATGCAAAAAAACCAAGTAGAAAGGAAAATAAACAACAATAATAAATAATATCTCCGTATTGGATAGTGGAAGCTATGATAAGTTTATGCGTGGTGACAGTAAAGCTATAATCGTACTAGAAGTTATGAAATGATATTAAGAATGTCTATAGCCAATATGATCAGTTAATTTGATTGAACTACACTAAACTTATCATAAAATAAACGTTTCAGGGTTTTTTATTGTCAGGTCTAATGCGGTGTTTGTAGTGGAAGTGTGAGTAATCATGAATAATACAAAAATTTTAAGATGGTGATAACGGCGTTCACAACCAAGATTGTCAGTTTTAATATTGCCGAACAAAAAGCACAATCACAAAACTAATATTACTTGAAGGTTATTGACAGGATAATTCTGTAATACTCATAGTGCTAATATAGTCAGGACCAGTAGATACACAAAACAAGGAATAGAGTAGAGTACAAAAAGTAAGCCAATGTTAATAATAATTTAGGTAGCTAAGTATGTTTAAGAAGGTGTTCACTATAGAGTACAAACAAGAGAGTATAAGGGAGAAATAAAAGGGCCAAAATTGTTATTAACAACAAAGCAAATCATAGGTTTCGGGCTTAACATTGTCTCTGTCACTTAGAACACGGGCTGGCCAAATATGGTATCGTTGAGTTCTATACTTGGTTGTACGAGCATATATTATTTTGTACTGATTTCTGGTTCTACCTGATGAGATACAAGGAGAGAGTTGGGAATAGAGGGGGTGTTGGGGGTCAGAGAGTATGGTTTTAGACCATTTTTCGCATGTATTTAGATGCCTTTCTACTAATGTAGTGACGAGCTGACTGAGTTTTACACTACTAGTCCTACTAACTACCTTCAACATCCTTCTCAGTATGGTATAGTCCTTTTTCAGTAACCCAGGAAAGACTAATGGGGAGCAGTAAAGTAGAATAGGTAAGATACGAGAGTTGACAAATTGTGAAAGCAGAGGTTGAGTGATTCCAGTTAGTCTGAGTTTCTTAATGTAGTAGGTTACACGGAACACTTTCTTAGAAATCGTTTGGATATGAGATGACCAAGTAAGTAAGGTCGGAAGACAGAACTAATCCGAGGTATTTTGCAGTAGACTTAGTTTCAATTTTACTCTTCTCAATGCTACAGGCTTCATGAGTATTTACTAGTGTTTGTAGATCTCGTTTATGCCTAAAGGAGAAGTCAATAGTCTGGCGTTTTGAGGGATTCAGCATGAGGCCATTTAGTTTAGACCACTGACTGATGTCCGACAGGAAGCTATTTATTAATTTGAAACAGTCTGACTGAGACTTAACGGGAAACGATAACAGTCAGGTCATCTGCATATTTGACGAAGTTGATTTCGTCTGAAAGAGGTAATTCATGCAAGAAGAAGGAAAAGAGAAACGGAGGACAGCACCCTGAGGAACACCAGCTTCAGTAAGCAAAGGAGAGGAAGATACATTCGTATCACAGTGCCCCAGTTCTACGCATACATTAGTCGACTCTGTCACAAATAAATCATTTCAAAATCGCAAAATCAAAGAGAAACAGAGTAATGCCAGTTAACTAGAGAATAATCAGGTCAGAGTTACTAAGAATTTGGAAACGAAAAGAAAGAAAAAAATAAAGACATGTACGCTAATGTAAAAACGTCAATAAGTCCATGACCATTAGATCTCTTCAAAAATTGATGACTACTCTACATTAGCACATACACGCCCTCACATGTTTCAGACCAACAGTTCGTGGTATGGGGATCAGATCATATATTTTCGTTTTGTTTCCTTAATTCGACTTCAATAACACTGCTCATTGACAAAGGTTGATTCAGTATGCATAAAACATGTTTAAAAGATGTGATCTGATGAAGATGCTCAGACATCGATCGATTTGCTTGTCTTCTACACAAATTATAAACATTACGAAACTGATGATTTAGGACACGCAATCACCTGACAGTTCCTATTCCGTCGTTACCCAGCATTCTTCGATAGACATCTGATTATCTCAGGGTTTCAAGAGACGATAATACTAAACGAGCGACCGTTCCACCAGTGCTGAGAAAAATCCTATTTTAAATAGTGGTCAATGTTGAAGGTTTACCTTGTTACTAATAAAGTCAAAAGTTCAGTCCAATAACCCAAAAACAATTTAACAGAACTACTCCTGATCTCATCCCACGAATTAGCATCTCCCTAGAGTTAATTAACATTTTGGAATCATAACCGTTTAGTAAATTTACATCACAGAGTTTTACAGTCCGAATGTATATCTTATTTACGCTGAAACTATAAACGGTAAGCAACTGAAGGGAGGAAATTAGTTAACAGAACTACTAGTGAATGTTTCCTTATCTTTCCTGAGAAATTAATAGAAAACTCGTTCTGTTTGCTCACAGGTAAATACATGGTCAAAACGATACATGACGAGAGTCTAAGCAAGCACTGAAGACCTTCAATGACTGCCAATAATAATGTAACTTGTGTCTGTTTGATCTGATGTCAGGAGTCGCGGCGTGTGTCTTCCCACTTTGAATTCCGCTAGTAGATAATAAGTGAGAATCAGGAACATATGACAATATCACAATCTTTCCTGGTGTATACAGACTAGTCCAACCATACAACGTGTTTATTATCTATTCAGAGCTGTTTCAAAATGAATCAGAATGAACTAATGTGTCTGTTTTCGACATAGAACTTTCCGTCGATGTGCACCAGTTCAAGTCGCCAAACTACACTCAGCACAAAAGCAAGAGAAGAAAGTAGAAGAAATGCAGAATAGAGACAGTAGACAGGGATATGAGACAAAAGGAATAGTAATAGCGAAGAACTATATAGTTTCATAAGGAGTGCATACATCTGTGCCACTCATTGAGAACGATGAGTTTGAACTATATCACAAATTGTCTCTAGCCTCCATTGGTTTTTACCATCCCTAGGATCCCAACCAGGAAGTCTACACCTTACTACATGGCTTAAACTAAATGTCGATTTCATTGACCGATGAGGCCATGTTTTGGTTCGTCCGCCACTGGCTAACTCTTTCCCAGCCTAACCATACGTCAGCCAGCATTTCCAGTCGATGGAGGTGATGGCTAGGCATACGTAACACATGTCCTAATGAACTAATGCACTAGAATCACTACGATCGAGTTGAAAACAAGGGTATCTGAATTGATTAAATTTTCAACGTAAAACTGTGCAACCATTCAAGTTGACACATTTCATAAAAGTATACACAAAGGCAGAGGGAAATAAACACAAACTGTAGTAAACGCAAGCGTACTGTACAAAGAATAACTACATGGAGGATAATGAAAACTTAACAGGATTAGAAAATCACAAACACCAAATGTAACTTTGCCATTAAGAACGACTTTCCACTACGTCACTAACCAATGATTCTCAGTATGCCAAAGAGGTCGGCCAGGTAGTCAGAACCTCCCTAAGAGGCTTACACCAGTAGTAAAAGACTCCATGTTTTGATATCATGTCTCCACTTGAAGACTTTAACTCCTTTCCAAACAAATCTTGTACTAGATAACCCTGCCTGACGTGTTCTAGCCATCTCAATTGATAAAGCCTTACATTACCAATTATCTACCCCTGCCTAAGCAACACCACACTTAAGGCGGTAGCACACAAACACCCATGGTCAAAGAAAGCTAACCTTCTCAAGTCTTTCATTCTCACATGCCACTTCCCACAGATATAAAAGGCACATTGAAGTGCTGAGAAACACACATATCCTTGGATCGTTGTAATATATTTTTAAGAATCAAGCTGAGGGTCATACTTATCGTGTGGGAGCTGATTTTAATACCCAGCGAACAGCTTATTAGAGCTGATGCAGCTGCAAATAGCTGCAGTGGTCGACACAGTCATCTCACTCCACAACTTCAAACTAGGAGTCAGTGAAGATTAGCCCTACAAAATCATCTTACATGTGACGGAGGCCTAAAATGTAACTTTCAGTTTACAGACAGCATCTTATACAACACGATGTCTTCGGCTTATAGGACACAGGCACCTAAAAATACTCGTAGTGCATATACCAGTGGTACCTATATATATATATATATATATATATATATATATATATATATATATATACATTTACTGCGAGATTTAAGTGGATGAAGAGTGAAATCACCGACCACTCTTCGGTTGTGATAAGTTAACTAGCACATGCTTAGTCAGTAGGATGGAATGAAGAAAAATCAATGCAAGGATAGTGACACCTTGGCCAATATCTTAAGCACCAAAGGCAATTATTTTAAGTTCCATTCAGTTAACTGTCTTCTAATATGCTTTATATATTAAAGCATTATGTACATTGACTGCATAAAATACGACAAAATTCAACGTCACTAAAAGGAATATACAGAGTAAGGTGGAGTGAACAGCTATTAAAATAATGCTTATCTGAACTTTTCCCCTCCGGTTATACGTCACAGCTAATTTCGCCGGCAGTTCAACTGAAGCACCATGTTTTCATCAAGGAATACTTCACCTTCGAACCCTGAAGACTTACACTGATTTACTACATCCTCTACGCTGGTGTGTAAAACTATAAGGAACAAACATCTAAAATAGCACAGCTTATCACGTTGTTTCAGTAATCAAACTAGATCACTAACTGTAAGTATCAGCTGGGAATTAGGGAACTACTCGGCACCAGTTTTAAATAAACTCCAACTCAAATTCATTAAGACAAGTAGTTTGATCGATCGGCATAGTCAAAAAGCATAAGATGCTGAGACTAGCAAATGATTATTACAGTGGGAATACATACGCTGTAATTCCTATACAGAAGTAGGATAATGCTTAGGTTGCAGACATTAATTGACATTAGGATTATATCATTCTGATACACCCTATGGTGCCTGCGTTCTATCTCCTGTGTGAAGTGGTATAATAAGATGAACAATATCGAGGTTAGGCGTCGAGTGCTAGGTAAGGAGGGGAAATCAATCGACGAGTTTGTGAAGTTACATCGACTGAGACGGTTAGGACATGTGTTACGTATGCCTAGTCATCGCTTTCCTCAACAAAGGGCAATGTTAGCTGACATAGGGTCAAGCTGGAAAACAGCTAGCGGCAGTCAAATCAAAACATTGTTTTATCAGTCAATGAAATCGACAAAAGTTACTTTAAGTCAGTCAGTCAAGTAGGGATGTGTATACTTTTTGACTGCTTAGTCCTCAGGATGGCAAGAACCAATGGATATATGTGATATGGCTGAAAATCGTTGTCAATTGCTAGCCCAGATGGATCCAATCCTTGTGACTTATAATACTCAATCAATCTATATTGTTCTTCGTTATTACTATTCCATTTGTCTCATATCTCTGTCTACTGTCTCTATTCTGCATTTCTTCTACTTTCTTCCCTTGCTCTGTGTGCTACATGGGGTTTATCGGCTTGAACTGTTGCACATCAGTGCAAAGTTCTATGTTGAAAATAGACAGACAGACATGGCACTATCACTTCTAAATGCAATACACTTTCCATTATTAAAGGCGGTGTTGATCACAAGATAAGTGTACATAATGGCAACATGGCACTGCAGAAAATGCATCATAAGATCACTCCAAACTGTATTATTTTGCTATTTTGCATTTTTTTCATTAAGCCTGCATAAACCCTCTGGTTTTTCTTATTAGTCAGACTGGGATGAGTCCGAAGTCGCTAAGGAGTAACAGAAGTTTACAGAGTTATGTGACAGAAATATACGAAGCTTGTTTGGCAGATGCAAACAGGTATGTGCAATTAAAACAGAAATCACTGGACAAGAACCACGAGAAATATACTCAAATCCCTGCAATTCAAAACCTGATAACATACTCGTCTTGTACACATCGTTTAGTCTGAGCTGACTAGGTGATTTTAATGCCCTTAACTGGAGTACCATATATATATATATATATATATACATATATATATATATATATATATACATTCCTCAATAGGACAGCCGACTTAGTAGGGAAGGCAATAACATAACATTCTTACATTACCTGAAAACTAGTACAAAACGTCTACGCAGCAGAAAAATACCAGGGGATTTTAGAGTGAAATTTGATACTAACATTCCCGAGACATAATTTTGAGTTAATCCGAAAATGGGATGATGTTACCAATTAACACCGACAAAGTTGCCATTAGTAGGATGAATGAATAATTTTTATAAAAAGTAAGTAGTATTCCACCCTGAATCCAAGTGCAATACTCTTCAGTATATTACAGAATGTATTAGCAAGAATGAAAATTCCGCAGTGCATTCAATAACCATCAAAACCTCATAAAATGTTTTAACGTGTTAATTAAATTAGAACAAACTTATTCTTTGCAATCTATATAGTTTCCAATGGCATAACACAATATTTCTCGAGAAAAATACCTAATAAGGAGAAAACTTTTCAAGGTGAGCGCCCGAAATGACCTATTTTGTTCATTCTCCACAATCAAATTAACAAGAAACAAACTTCTTTTAATTTCTTGTGGCAAACAGTAGCTCTGACGTATATTTCTGGAAACAGAAACTAATGAAATCTCTTCTCAGTAACAATATCCTAACCTGATATCCAATATCTCTGTAACAAGTGATGGTATTCTTACGGTCTACCTCTAATATCGAATTTTTAACCAGTTTGTGTAAAACGCACGCATTTCTTTGTGATCTTTAGATGTTTACTGGGTAAAATTTTGACCTTTTGAGTAGTTTGTATCGTCACTCGGTTAATGTAGCTATGAGAGAGATGTGATATTGGACGTTAGTCATGTGTGATTCACAATACTGACATATCAAGACCGTTGTAGCTGAAGTCACTCCTCTGACCCGTTAGTCGTCCGGTACCATCGAATCAAGAAATAATAAAATCATTAGTTGCTAATATATGAACTTAAAAAGGAAAACGAAAAAAACAAAAGAAAAACGAATGAAGAGGCAAAGTCATCGGCAGTATGAGGCAAGGAAGATTTAGCATGGTGAGCTATGCTGATACCTACTGATAGGTCGCCATGTGGGAGGGGCGGGGAAAGTCTAGTCAGAAACATTTCTTGTGTTGCTGCATCATTAACAATTGACTGCCTAAACCTTACCACCGACGGTGCAAAAGATGCAGCTGCTGGTAGACAGTTCCATGGGCAGCTTACTCAAAGCGAAAATAAATGGGGACCCATTCGATTCCAGCCCACTTGGTGTGCATTTCTGTGATTTGTATAAGAAAGTCTGTAATTCTTCGATGTCAGGACAGAGTTGTCTGCGTGATTGTGGTCATTTGTAATCTTATAAACAGAGGTTAGTGCCCTCGACGCCAACAGTCGCTCGATGTGGAAAGATTCAATTTCTTCACCCCATAAACATCCTGCTTGTTCCTGTAGCACACAATACTTTTCATTGTCTCTACTTGAAGCCCTTTCAAAGTTGATATAATTTTCAGGTAACTTGGGCGGAATTATAATTATTGAATGTTTGCGCACGCCACACGAGAGCTCGCAGAGTTTCTCAGCACCGTTTTACAACCAATGATCCCATATCACTAAAAACGCAGCACCTTCCCGGGCTGAGTTTCGGTAGTTTTGCTAGAATGACTGTAGAATCAACGTTGCAGTTACCCGCGAATTTTTCGCCCGATACTTGAAACGACCATGAAGAAGTAAAACTGAAACTGCGATTAAGTTGTCTGTCAGAGGCCTAATTGAATGTTTCAGTGAGATGCAGGCCAGTTAGAGCCTTTCAGACTCATTTCTGACATTCAGTGGTTTTGCTCTCCGATAAGTAACGAGGCAAATCCTCGAGGTTGGCATGGAACTCTCTAAAGAATTTGGCCAGAAACGGTTAGCTGCTAGTCACTTAAAAGCATATCCCTGTTAATTATAACATCGTTGTTCATTATCATAATGGTTTACTGACATTTCATACTTTTCACATGCTTTTTATATGAAACTTTTCATTGAAAAATTTTCTGAAATGCATAACATAGGCACTACAATGTATTTCAACTAAGCTAAATTCTCTGCTCTTGTGTCAGAAAATATCGTCTTATAGTAATATATGAACAATAAGACTCAGTAAGTTCTAAGGTTGAAGGTATATATTTGGTTTTTCATGACATCATGCTAGTGTATTTGGTCCATTCAGTGAAACGCTGTTGTTTCCACTACTGCCTGTAAAAATGGCATGCATTTTTATGTAAATTTATATGTTTATATGAAAATATAAATTATTATTATTAGTGTGGTTCCAATATCCAATATCGTTTTTACGAGCTAGTATAAACCAATTTGATTTCTTTGTGCTCGCTTCTTGATTGTGAGGTATAGGTTCTTGATCTTCGGTAAACTTCTGCGTAGCTTGTCCCGCCACTCGACTGTCGTAGCTTTGGTTGACTCCAAAGGGAGTAGTGCTGGGATTAATTATATGTGGTTTGTAGTATGAGGTATGTTAAGACTGTTACTACTGTGACTGGAGTTGATCCTTTCGCCAGTTAGTCCTTCGGTATTGTCGACAAGAGAAAAGAGATAGTAATAATAATAATAATAATGGTAATAACAATAATAGATATAATTAGTGAAGTTATTCGGACTAAGGGACAGAAACGGAAATAGGAAAGCGTAACAACACTCAGCTCATTAAGTTTGAAGAATAATATATATATATATATATATCGGTAATAATAATAATAGTAATTATAATATTAATAAGTTGTCAGGAGAGTAAGACGGGAGAGAATGTAAACAAGTAAAACGACCAGTTTAATTGTCTACCCCTGAATGGTGTATGCGATTTTAAGGAGATAGGCCATTTGGATGCAGTCCTTGTGTCGCTGCATGGTTGTCCAGCCTTCGAGTCCAAAGACAGTGCCATAGCTACATCTGCCGGTAAGGAATTCCAGGGACGGCAAACCCGCATTGAAAAGAAGTGGGAGCGCACCCGGGTCCTTGCCCTCTGGTGAGCTATCCTTCTGGGATTTCCACGTGGAAGCCTATACCTACTCAATGGCAGAACACCTTTGTTTGGGTGATTCTGGTCATTTGTTATTTATCTACTACACAAATATTTCTCCGAAAATAGTCTTGACACGGTTTGCCATATGCTGAAAATTCGTGATATTGTTTCTTCCCACTCTGACTTATGTACCTAAACAGCTTTGTTCACTCAAAGCATTAACAGAAACGGTCAGTATTATCAGACATATTTAAAATATTCTACGTTGAGCTAATTCTGTTCTCAGTTCCTTTTTTTAGTTGATCCAATTATTTGTTTCGCAAGCATCATCATAAAACATCCGCAATCCTTTCATGCTAAACTGGAGTGGAATACACAGCCTGTCATACTCGCCATGAAAGTTGCACTGAACCTAAATGAACTACCCTTACAACTCTTCAGTCAATCTAATGCATTTAATCCCAGCGGCTGACTGCCCAATTAATCAAATATTATATTATATATAATTACATTACCATATACGTCTACAGAAATCCAAGCCCTACACAGGACCGTCTAAAAATTCAGCCTAACTGCACTGTGAGTCTCAAGTATTAACGGATTTCATTTTACTGTTATGCTATCATAACACTCTGTAGTCGAACTCTTCTGAACTAACTATTATAACTTACTGCTGTCTCTTAACTACACTGTGAATCCTAAGTATCAACGGATTTTATTTTACTGTTATGCTATCATAACACTCTGTAGTCGAACTCTTCTGAACTAACTATTATAACTTACTGCTGTCTCTTAACTACACTGTGAATCCTAAGTATCAACGGATTTTATTTTACTGTTATGCTATTATAACACTCTGTAGACGTATTCTTTTTAAGTATCTTTTATGACTGACTACTCTGTTTTGATGTAGATATTTACATAACTATGTAGCTTTATGTATTTTTCTCCTCCGTAACATTTCGGTGCTATGCTTATGACTAAAATCTTGAAAGTAGCCTGCAAATATCTGATTCTCTTACTTTTTTATTGTACGTAAACATTTTTAAAATGCTGTTAGTGACGATGCATACAAAATGGCTAACTGAAAATATTCGTTCGTACCATGAGTATTGTTGAGTTAGCTTGTGAATGCAAAAACTGTCCATATGACACGTAGCAATAATAAAAGATTTATTTCTAAAAACAAAAAGGAGTATTTCGCCAGGGCCTAGCAGATTCAATGTGGGAGGGTGGTGACTGCTATTCAGTGGATATGATGGTGGGGACTTAAGAGAACCACTCTTATCTGTGGGAATGCACTCTACTGCTAAGGCTCATGAGGATGAATTACTTCAAAAAAAAATAAATAAACAAATAAAATAAAAAATAAATGCTGCCTGTATGTCACAGCTTGTGTACAAACACTTTGAAAAAATGGCTCATGATACGATTTCTCTACTTCAGGAGGATATCTAACTGTATAAATCAGAACAACAGCATAAATCAGTATTACTATACTTACTCTTTTCTTCTAAATAACTTATGTACTTTGGCATTTGGATTTCACTTCTTCAGTTATTATTCCCAACATTACCCTATATAAGAGTGAAAACCATAATTCGTTTCGCCCTAATTTTTCCTTTTTTTATTGTTATTCTACACTTCAGTTGTTGTTTACTACTATAAACTTAATCTAACCGTTAGTATGCAACACTAAAACTCAATGACTAGAAATTCCTAGTAATAAAAAAAGGAGAATAAACCCTGCGGTCATCGCATATTGTTTGCTTAAATTATTATCTGCTGGCTGCTCCTGTTTTCTTCACTTCTAGAAGGTATTGTACTGAAGCACTGCTAATGGACAGTAATCCTGCTTTCTACATCCGTATTACTTGAGCGGTATCCAGAATATTGTTAGCACTTACGATGAACAACGGAACAAACTCCATTCTGAATTCTTTTCAACATCGCAAAGTGAACTTTGCGACCAATTGGTCCTTTTTATCTGCTAATACCAATATAATGCTGTACTTACCATCTAATGTGGATTTTTATAATTTTTCGAACCCTTATTGATTGATAAAATGATAATAATAACGGTCTGCATCCAGAGTGTCTTACTCTAGCACCTGTATATCACCTCTCTTCTTAACTTCCATTAACGCAAAATTTCATAATTCCCGCTTGAATCTTACTCACTATGAGTATTTTAAATATTATAATTTAGACTTAAACCAAAATCTTATGTTCTATTCTTATAGGGTTTCAAGAGGTCATTTTCCAATTTTTAATTTCAAAAAAGTGTTCAATTTAAGACTGCAATTGTCTAATATGATCATGCCTGTACAAACGGTATGTGAATCATGTAAATGCTTATGTCAATGGAGTTGAAGATTGAACGATCAATTCTTGGTTGTTTGCTTAAAATCAACTTCCCCAATTTTCGCGGAGGCATCAATACGACAGTCATCGTCTCATCGGTCGCTGTTCAGAAAGAAGAGTGAAACATCGTCAGAAGTAATACAATGAATTATTATTGTAATATTTGTTTTCAGACCTTAGTTCACTTATTCTTTTTATATGTTGGTGTAACAATAAAGAAATATCAAGCGGCAGATCGGTGTTTTGGTTTTTTCGTCCGTTATAACTAAGCGTTTCTGAAATCTTCAAGGAACAGCGTGGGCCCGAGCGTAGCGAGAGCTGGGCATTAACGGTTTATGAGACGAGATTGACAGTTTCTGACGATGGAAACAGATCTGGCGGATTCAAACAGTTGGTGAAAGTTTGGATAGTCGCCGTTCATTTCTCCTGGTGCCGGTCAAGTCCTCTTTGAACAAGCAATATCTGGAACGTTTTAGGAATTGGGTCAAGTTCAACAATGCCTGGGTCAAAGAAGGGACAGAGTGTCTTGGATGCAAACAGGAAAGTAAGTCATGGTGACTTGTCTGTTAATTGTAACGATGTGTCTGATGTTAAGCATGACATGGTTGATGTTATTGTTTCGCCGTTCAGGGATAATAGGAACATCAAACTCCCTAAATTTGAACCACGGTGTTTTGATGGAAACCCTGTCGATTATTAACAATTTGTAAAGGAGTTTGAGATCATGTTGAATAGTTTTGTATTAAGTGATGAATTGAAGTTAATGTATTTGATGAGATATTGCACTGGAGATGCTGCAAGAGCTATACAGTGCTGTACGTTTATGAAGCCAAAAGAGGGCTACAATGAGGCTATGAGCATATTACGTCAAAGGTTTGGAAGACCTTCGATGATTGCAGGGAAATTATTCGAGGCTGTTAAGGGTAATGGTGGTCAATTACAGGATGACTCCAAGGCCCTCACTGAGTTTTTAGATAATTTGCTAATTTACAAGAATGCAATGATTTCGATGAATCGCATGAGTGACCTCAACTCGAGTTTTATACTAGAAGTAATAGCAAGACGTCTACCTACTCGACTGCAAAGGAAGTGGGTGAAGATGAGCTCCCGTATAGAGGATGAATGTATCGAGCCAAAATTTGATGATATCCTGAAACTAGTAAAAGAGAGTGTCAATCAATCTATGAGCAAGTTTTCCAGTCTATTATATCTCACCCCTAGAATAGAGCAGTCTGAGATCAAAATGCAATCATTGATGACGAAAGGGCCTCAGAGAGGTGGATATCGAGAAGGCTCCATGATGTCTAGTAATGCATATAGACCTAGTGAGTGTAACAGGTTTCGTAGTACATGCTCAACAGATAAGTTACAAGATGCAAGACAAACACGGTTGTGTTTTACACGTTTGCAAGAGGTGCATACAAAGGTGAACTGTGAACCAGTGAGCAAGTTCAGTGATAAGCTAAATGTAAACTCCAGGTCTGACTCCGAATTGTGTGACGATAACGGTGCGGTGAAGAAGTCTGTAGTTGCAACTGGTAAGCCATTGTTGAATAGAGTGTCACAGAATAGAGTTACTGCTTAAGGGTGCAGTTCTGACCCTACAAGTTTACAAGGTATTACTAGTCAGAGTGAAGTTATAAAACCTTTGATATTTGTGAGGAGGAACCAAAATTGTCTACTTCTGTTATTAAAGAGTTTGAAAATGATGAACTTGACGGTAAATTGAATATTTGTGGTAATGATCATGATACTTCACATTTGTCTTTGGTTGATCATGATGAAATGGAGGGAATGCCTACTACCGCTAAGTTAAATAAAGGTTCTGTAGAACTTGAACGTGAAGTAGAAATAAATGCAGGTGCAGTTGCAGAAGGCATACATACTTGTGAGACCGTCAGTGTAAGTGATCAGCATGTAGCCCACCTATCATCAGATGCTAGTGCTAAACCTGAGCTGATAGTAAAAGACAACAGTGGTGGTGGTCTTGCAGTTAGAAAACTTTCTGAAAGCCGAACAACAACAGCTTCTGATCCACCGCTAAGTTCATCAACTGATATCAATCAGTCGTCGTTGGTGCTGTCATCCAAAATGAAACAGACACATATCAACTCAAGTATCTTGTGCAATGACTATGGTAGTATCAGTTCGTTTGAAAGGACGAATCTCAATGGTCAGTTTAGTGTGGATAAGCCAAGTGTAAAGGAGAGAGTTATTGTTAAATTGACTTGCACGAATAAAGGCATTTCTAGTTTCAAGTTACTATTTGAATGTTATTATCTTTGGTGTAAATTACTCTGTGCCTAAGCTTGGTTGACCAGATACGTCGTGTGTTCGTTCGTCATCTATATTCTACGATACAATGACATGGGCGTGTTGCCGTTCAGATTTGAGGATATAGCTGATAGAAGGAAGTTAGCAAATGAACTCTGCGACGATTTTCCAACCTAGAGCGTCAACCTGAGAAGGGTTGTAGGCGTACTGCTGTAAGTCCTACAATTCTTCAAAGGGTAGCGCATCAATGAGCAGCCCAACGTGCTTGGTGTGTGATTTTGTACATATGTTCATATTGCATATACTGAATTGATATCATCTGTCATCTAGCTGTTGGTAATTCTGTTTGTGTCCGGACGACTTCCACTTGGATCATCAACCTAAGAAGGAATGTAGGCGTACTGCTGTAAGTCCTACAGTTCTTCAAGGGTAGTTTGCCGTGCCAGAATACACAACATTTGAGGTGTTGATTGTACATATGTTTGTGTTAAATAATTGTGTGAGTTCCAATTGATGTAATTGTTGGTTAATCTTGTTTGTGTCCGGACATTCCACAACTAACAATCGTCAATCTGTGAAGGTTTGTGGGCGTACTGGTGTAAGTCCTGCAATTCTTCAAAGGAATTCCACCAAGACATGATCGGCGAGGTTATTTGCACTGTTTGTATATATGTGTGGTGTGTCATATCAATTGGTGTTTTTGGATTCATTGTGTTTACTTGTTGTTTTCGTGTCTTGTTGTTATTGCGTAATTTTGTTAAAATTTTCGTCGTGATTATTTCTGAAGTTGTTTCGAGTCTTCTACATCCATGAATGAATTGATTGATGTTAAGGACAGCAGATGGGTCGTATAAGCCGGGGAGGCTATGCTATTGCTGAGAATGAAATGCATACGGAGATAATTGTAAGCTGCGGTCTGACACGCCGGGGAGAAAGAGTGTAAACGACTGAGGCTCGCATGCGTCACCGCTACTAGAACTGAGGCAGAATGAGTGACAAGCGATTTCAGTGGTAATTGGTAGTGAGTAGATAAGAGGATGTGCGTAGAGTATCGTGAGGTGCTGCCATGGTCACTTTGCATTCTGCAAGAGTCATTCTAGTAAGTGGCGATTGTGTTGCAAGATGTCAAGAGGAGGTCTCTGTCTGGAGGCGCAGGTCGTCATTGATGTGTGAGATTGTGCTGTGGGTATGCTTGTGGTGTGTTGGCTTTTCTGTTTGTTTTCCATTTCAGCTCTGTCCGTGTGACCCAGGTTCTCGCAATGGCATCTAAGTCAACGTGCATTGGTCGTGAAGGAAAAAAGGGTTGGATCCCCTTTTTGCCGGGGAGTGTCAATGGAGTTGAAGATTGAACGATCAATTCTTGGTTGTTTGCTTAAAATCAACTTCCCCAATTTTCGCGGAGGCATCAATACGACAGTCATCGTCTCATCGGTCGCTGTTCAGAAAGAAGAGTGAAACATCGTCAGAAGTAATACAATGAATTATTATTGTAATATTTGTTTTCAGACCTTAGTTCACTTATTCTTTTTATATGTTGGTGTAACAATAAAGAAATATCAAGCGGCAGATCGGTGTTTTGGTTTTTTCGTCCGTTATAACTAAGCGTTTCTGAAATCTTCAAGGAACAGCGTGGGCCCGAGCGTAGCGAGAGCTGGGCATTAACGGTTTATGAGACGTGATTGACAGCTTAATTTATGTGAAATAGATTATTATGTAGTATATTAGTCCTATCGAAATATTCCCTGATGTGGTCGTCAATAATACTTTCCAGTACTTTTGATACCACTGGGAGTAGAACTACTGGTCTATAACTAGTAGCGTTTTGCCTGTCCCCACCTTTGAAGATTGGAGAAAGGATGGCTCTTTCCCACTCCCTTGGCAGTGTCCCCGAATCCATTGA